TCACCAGAACATAGACAAGATGACGACACTGTTACATATTGTAGCATATTCCAAGCGATTAAAAATCATATATTTCAACTTTCATAAGATACGAAAATAGTAAGCAAAATAGAGATTTCAGTATAATATCAGATTTGTAACTACTTTGTTATTATCTAAATGTAATGTATTGGCCTTAACGAACGAACCAATGAAATAACTTCCAATGAAATCTTACAGAATGAGTAAATTAAGCGTGATAAGGCAAACTATACTTCCTGTAAAATAATTATAGCACGCCAATGAAAATATAACCTTGTTTCTATAGTTTAAAGAGAAATATTTATAAGCATAACACACTAGTACGATTGCCTTCAATTGTGTTTCACAATTCAATTAACCTACTTAGCAACTTTAGCACTACTTAATGTATATTTAAATACTTTGTCAGATAATTAGTTCCAAATCACGAATTTCAGCAGAGAAATCTTAATTTCTGATATAAATTAGTTATAAGTTTCGTGTAGAAGGAGTCAAAATTGAGATTAACTTGCGATGTATGAACTGTTTTCTCAGCGAAGATAGAGGAAATATTAAAAGTCAGAAATATATGCAATACTGTGAACAATCTGTTTCGATTTAAGACTTCCTACTGTCACTTTGGTTAATCCACATTTCCGACTATGAATGGTATTTGTATTTCTTGATTTTGATTCATTGTATGTAGTATTGTTTCAGTTTAAGCATATGATTTTATAATTGATTTTAGCTATATATAAATAATTTGGTTTTCAACAACAGTTTTAAAGATTTTTTTGTCTGAATGTAGAAATGTGTGAGTAACCATTATAGTGTGCTCTCGTCGGGGCATCGCCTTCTTGCACTTTCCTCAACAGTAATTTGTAAAGATAAAATCAACACGCGTACCAAACCAATGACACCTAGAAAAGTCATCCAGGTCAATACGAACATCCATATAAAATAATTGTACTTTCATAAGTATTTTACACGTTAGTTTGTCTTTCATTCTATACTTTAACGTAAGATATTTTACATGCAAACGTTTTTTTTTATTATATTTTTATCACTTAAAACGGAAACGAATGCTTAGAATACAAACGGTCTCGCAATTTCAATAGTCTATGTGAAGACAGCTATCAGAAACATATTGGTCAATTATTTGGTATTTAGTTTCTTTTCTCTTTTGTCATGAACTCAGCTTGTTCTTCGAAAAGTTTAATTTTACAATTTAATGACTAGATAGATGAGTCTCCAACGGTCGAGACGAAATCTAATTTCATTCTTTTTGCGGAGATGATTAATTCAATATACGTATATATATTGCTTTTGAAATGCAAGACTTCAAAATTTAACTTACAAATTTTGAAATGATGACGGCTATTTAAACTGGTTTTGATATTTTATACTACTAATGTAACCCTTATGATAGAATATGTTTAAGCAATTATAAAATTGTGCAATACCATTGTTATGTGTCAGGTTAAATGCCATTATCGACATATCAAATAAAACTCATATTAATTTATTGGGAAACTAAACTGTCGATGATGAAAAAATTTTTTTTTAAATTAAACAGACGGACTAGATCGAACCCGAATAATTCAATCCTTCCACGTAATCGATCTCTCCTACTTGCCCATCGCAGATCAGCGGAATGTAATGACTAAATTATGCGGGACCAGATCACATATGGATAAAACATAGTTATCTATGTCAGTTTGAAAATTTACGTACAATGTAATTGAAGTCCAAACCGTAGAGATAATACCTACAAGTTTCATTGAGCCATTTCCTGTATCAATTACAAGTGTTGTATATGAGGGTTCTGATTCCTATTGATATTAATTAGTCACCATATCACACTTCTAAGAATAATTTCTACTGATATATACATACTTGAGAAAAAATAAGGCAGCAGGTTATTAGATCAAATATTGAGTGACATTATAAGGAGTACTAAGAAAAAGACCAAAATAGATGACAACGTCCAAATATAATAAAAACGGATAATACTTTATTCTATATATAAAACTTATCAGGAAACTGTCAATAATTTGTAACCTGTATCTTAATGTCAATTGATAATGGACGACGTTATTCTTAACATTTGAATCACACATTTTAATAATGTTTTTTATGGTATAGGTTAATGAAAATCTTCCAACTTCCGTTGATGAACCTAGTTTTCAAAGTCAAAGGATGAGTGTCACGATCTCTTTAGTCAAACGAAACCCCTGCAACAATTCTTTAAGGTGTTATTAGGTAGCTTGTTGTAAGGCAACATCACTATCCCTATCCAACGTGGTATTCCAAATTCCCCGCCCTTTATCTCCTGCAACCCAAGGTACAGAATCTACTTATTATTATAATATATTATTTTGTTTGTTTGTTCTGGTCCTAATATGCATAAAATATTTGCCACATCCAAAGCAAGAAACAATCATTCTAATGTTCAACACTGTTCATACTTACATAATGGCGTCTCATTTTATAATTTGTTCGAAATATCAACACTTTGAAACAAATTATCAGCGTCAATTGTCGTTATTTACAAAATAGTATCTACACAAATTAAACAAAATGTATTCCAGAACATGACATAACCGAGGTATATGAAATATTTTGTAAAATTGGAGACGCTTTCCCTGCTGACGCACCCGGTCTCGCTCCTTTTGGAGTTTGTGCGATTCTCTCATTTTTTGTTTTTCTTGATTCTCTGAATCAAGCTATGAGATTTGAACTTCGCTAAACTACTGTTGCCTTAATTTATAATTGTAACGTTAACAGTAAATAAAAAAATATAAAAGAAAGTTTAACTTCATTAAAAAATAACATACAAAACAACAGCATAGATACACTTTAAATGATGATAAAAGTAAGCTAAAGAGGTACCCAAACGTTACGTATTAACGAATATATGCGTAGAAAACAAAAAAAAAAACTTATTTCACAGTAAATGGATACATCAACTGTCGATTCGTAATTCAAGCAGACCGTAAATATATATGTATTAAGCAAGAGGCGGAATTATAAATTTATAACAAAATACAATATAAGTAAAGCAACCCACCAGTACTTAAATAACATGAATTAAGAAACATAGGGGATCATGGACATGGTCTGCTGAAAATGTAAAGATAGAGCCAGTAGACAAATGAAATGTAACACAAGAATGAACAGATAGCAAAGATTAAATATTGATCAGCATCATTATGACCATATCAACATGATGATATGAACATTTTTGATCAAATAGCATACTTATAGTTAAAGGTTATTGCTTAAATTCTATCAAACCTCAAGTTAATAACATTAAACGATGCTAATATTCGTAAACGATGCTAATATGCGTTTCGACCAATTCATTGATGCTGGAGTCCATTATAAATTTGTAAATCCAAAACATAGTATTAACTTTGAAGAGCTTATATAACTGAAAATTACAAAAAGGATAGCCAAACAGTGTCAACTATCTGCATAAGAAAGAAGGATTCTTGAATTAAAAACGGTTTCCTAAGTTTTATCATTGCAAATGTCATGAAAACAATATCCGTATTTTCATGCCAGTATCGTAGTCCTGAGATACAGGGATGGTGATACCTTCGTGACTAACGGTCCATCTGCAGGGTTTAATTTTTGGCAGTTCGAGGCTTATTGAAAATTCTACATGTGAACATCTTATTTTCAACAGATTTTTGAATTATCCTGATTAGAGGGCAACGTAGTGACAGGTTAATATTGAGAAAAAAGGTCCTATATTTGGTTAACTTGAAAATATCCATGGGGTGAAATCCATAATGTTGCTTCTCATTAGATAATGTTAAAATAAGGGCAAACAAAATCTCGATATTGCGGACGTACCATCTACCATTTTTACATTGTGATGCAGAAAACGTATCATTGCGTTACCAATATTCAAAAAGAAACAGTCAAATTTCTACTAAGAGGAAGAGAAACTGACAACAACATTGCAAAAAAACGACGAAAAAACAAACAACAGTCTACAGAACACTAGATTGTAAAATAAAAATTGAGAAAGACGATCCAAAAAAAAAAAAAAAAAAAAGATCGAAAGTAATCTCATGTGCTCCGGAAGGGTAAGCATGAATATTATTATATTTGGCAGATTATGTTTTATTGAATATTTTAACATGTCTAATGAGATATATATCAATTTTTAAACAATTTGAAAAAAATTACACTGAGTAGAGGGCAACGTAGTGACTTTTTAAATGTAGGAAAATATAGTACCTTTCTTTGGTTAACTTGAAAATATCATTGATATAGATATTTATTGAGGAAATTGATTCCATCTGTATGAATTTAATAAAATGTGATATTTCGCATTTAGCTGATACAGTTACTATCATTGTCCTTTCAATTTTTATCTTTTGCTAACTAAACTTATGTTAAAGTTCATAAATATACAGCTTTTAATTTCAAAGGTCATTATATGAAAAAAAAATACATTATATAATCTGCAAATAAAAATCTGTTTAAAAACAGTAAATTTTGATTTTGATATCGTATAAATCGTATAAACCCACTCTATGCAATTTCAAAAATGCAATAAATAATTTTATGGAAAAAATGTTTAAATAAACGTCCGTGAACTCAAATGTCTGCAAAATTTAAACCATGTTGCTCTGAATATGGCCTAATCCTATCGTTGTAATAAAAAATGCAACGCACGAATATAAATGATATTTAGGTTGAGAGTAAGGTTTCATTCGAATAGTTCATTTGCAAAAGGATTTTAATGTCATAACAAATGCATTACAGTATTTTCATGTATGAATAGTCTATGAAATTAAAAGATTTTAAAAACTTACAGACAGAACATATTAAGCAGAGATGAAATTTCATCTTCAATTTGCTCTTCATTGGCAATGAAAATTTCAGTCCCTCCTAAGGGAAACAATTCATACAAATGGATCTATAATTACACGTCAGGGTCAACTACGGAATTGGAAAATAAACTATTGCTTTATCATAATTACCTTGTGTCACCTGTATAACGTTGTTACTCCGTAGGGTAAAACTCATACAGACGTAAACAATTCTGTAAAATAGTTGAACACAACTTCATAAATTGGAATAATTTTGTGTGTGTTTAGTACTTGAAGCTTTATATTTCTTCCTGTTTTTTTGCACCAGTTCTTAATTATTTCAAATTAACATACCATGGTAGTTATGTAAATGTATTGTGCTTCTTTAAAGACGCAAAGAGGTACAACGTTACAGAATAACGGATATGTTCATCATTGAGAGTTCATTATGTAGAGAAATTACAACTTTTACCAAGAGTCAACTGCATTATCTTGACGTGATTGTCACAGCTGTGATGAAGCATTTTGCTGCAGTTTTTCCTTACCGATGAAACTGAGATCCAGCCTTTGTGATGTTCACATACATATACTATTCACTATTGTTTCTGTCAGTATTGTTTCTAGATCTTTGGATGAAATACAGATTATATTTCATTACATTAGTTAAGATTTTAGATAAAATTGAGAATGGAAATGGGGAATGTGTCAAAGAGACAATAACCAGTCCAAAGAACAGAACAGCCCAAGGCCACCAATGGGTCTTCAACCCAGCGAGAAAATCCCGCACCCGGAAGCAGGCTTCAGCTGGCCCCTTAACAAAAATGTAGATCCTTATTTTGCTTATCATGTACACAATGTATTGCAGAATGTATTGAAGATGAAAATAACCATAGTTCAAAATGACAGCCAAATGTCAAGTAATTGCAAAAGTTTGTCAGCCTAGTAATATCACGATAGTACAGTTTATTATTGGTATAAGTAAAATTGTATAAATATCAGGAGCACTTAAGGATTATGTACCCTTGTGTTGCTTCAATGCTAAACATATGGAAATTTTATAGAAAATCCACAGCCTTTCCACTTGTACTCTCATATTTGGCAATTCGGTACTTGATAGATAGAGGATTATTGCATGCGGTGCTAGCAATGATTTCCTTAAAACAAGTTTATAAATTTAGTTATTGGTTAAAATAAATAAAAATTTGAACCAATTCAAGTACACTTTCTAGGGTGCGCTTGACTTTAGTGACTCAGCACGAGGTGTTGTGGAATTTAAAGGTTGTTTAGGACTTTCTGTAAACAATAAACGCTAGCTGATCATAGAAAAACAAGTGAGTAAGCTATGATTCAAATTTTATAACAAAAATCTCTGTATTAAAGTCTGTGGATTTTCTACGAAATTCTTGATTTTATTTTCACCAAATTCCCCTTTTCTATTAAATGCAATGAAACTATCAATAATTATGCTTTGCCCGAAGTTTCCCCTCGGTATATATACAAAATGACCCATCTTTATTATTTATTATATTTTCTGTTTTGATGCTATTGCAATTTGAAAAGTTCATAATTCACAGGCCACAGAAGGGGTCATAAACCTTAATAATGCTCATAATGAGGTTATCCTGTATATTTGTGTTTAATTCTTTGTATCAATCAAAATATGATTTCCAATTTTTTCTTTTTAATAGAGGAGTTGTGTCCTTGATATTTGTGATATATATGATGCCGTTGTACGTTTCACAAAAATACAATTGGCCGTAATAGACGAAAATCTGTGGAACATCACTGTATTCTTATGAAATAAACGTATCTGTTGCTTTGTCTTTCTATCTCACAAAGTATATGCAATAAAGCGATTAAAATGTACAAGAGATTTAGATTTTGCGTTGCAATGTCTTTATTAGAATTTTTACATCTAAAGTGATCTGAAATTTTATGTTGAACAGTTACTGTACTTTTAAAATAGTTTTATTTGATTGATCCGTATATCGGATAGTAACTTTTTGAGGAAAACGTGATTTCCCAAAAGATTGAGTTGAAGAAAATTTTGGCAGTTAATTAGAATTCGAAATCTGTTTGAAAAATGTCATTAGGTTGTAAGTTAGGCCTTAAAATATTTTGTTCATTTAGAAAACATTTAGCTTATGTGAGCAGATACTCAATATCTTAGCAAAATGAAAATTACAATTTAGGCTTATTTCATTTCCTGAATTGTTTAAGAAAACTCTTGATCCATCATTTTCAATCCTATGTAATTAAATATACTGTTACAGGAATAATTAAGAGTATGTTATGGATGAATGGCTGATCCCAGTTCAATTAGTGTGTGCTAAATTACATCAATAAAATTAATTTCCTGGGGTATTCATTTCACAATTATTCTTTAATATGTTCTCCAAGTTCTTGAAATTCTGATTCGCTTTTATCCACAGGATACCAAAATATTACCAGTACAAATCACAAAAATGCATTTACATGAGTAGTAAAATGTTGCCGTGGAAATCTGATTGAGTTCGGAATGTGTCAAGAGATTTGTTCTGTTATTCCGGTGAAAGGCTGTGCGTTCAAAAAGAACTTCTATTACGACGTACACAAAAGAAGAAAACGCAACTTTAGAATGCCTTGTATCTAAATGGTATTAAAGTAATAGGTATTTCAGTAATATAAAGTAAAGTTGATAAATGAATCACTGACACATAAGAGTATTATATTTACTTTTCTGAAAAGAAGATTGATTTTAAAGTAAAATTAGTTTTATATCAAATTCAATTGTAATTTACTTATTATGATTAACGAAAAAATATTCTATCTATCAGTATTACAAGCTCAATAACAGAATTAAAAGTTTACATAATGTTTATAACAGAATTACAATTGTACATCACGATTTAGAAATGATAATAATTGGATAGAATATTGAATATATATCTCAGTTGATACAATATTCCAAAGCTTGTCTTCTCTATCGGGATTTTATCTATGCAGAATTGCTGCTTGCAAGAAATCTGTTGAACCGAGGAATTGTGGAAGATATATCTTCGAAACATTTAAGGTTGCCATATTGATTGGGTTGTTGACCATAACGGATTATCTGTGTCACATTAACCACAGATATATAGCATTGGTCGTTTCCAAAACCTTGTTATCCTCTCCTCCTCCCGTCATGGTGGCACGGCACACAAATCATCTATAGTGATCAGCCTATCATCTCTGAGGTTGTGAGTTTGAACTCCGCTGGTGGCGAATTCTTTATTATCCCGCGTTGAAGGCCGTACTTTGACCTATATAATTGTTAACTGTTTTACATTGTGACTTGGATGGAGAGTTGTCTCATTGGCACTGATACCACATCTTCTCATTTATATTGGAAAACATTTTTAATTAAGTAATGTATCTCCCTCAGGCAAAGCTCTGAATTCTTTGTCTATGTTTGGCTTCACTTTTGGTTTTTTTTTTCATTTTTTTAACATTCAAATATTTGGCCTCGAGCATCACTGAAGAAACAGTAATTGTCGAAATGGGTATCTAGTACAGTAAAATTAGTACTGTTAATGTCATTATAGATATCATTTATGTATTAATAGTTATTTATCGTAAGACTCGTTGGTTCTAGTTCTCGATATGTTTTAAACGATCCCAATGACCCTTTCTTATTATATATATTTGACTTAAAATTGTGCATGGATTAAGGATTATATGACAAATGTATCCAGAAAATTTATTTTATTTTATACTTTTGTTTAGATAATTTTCATTGCTTCATATATCCGTATACTCCTTCGGCGGCTTTAAATAAACTGATCATATATACCAGGCTTAACATGCTGTTCGCCAGATGCGCGTTTCGTATACAAACGACTCGTCAGAGACCATCGAATCGAAAGAGTTAAAAGGCCAAATAAGTGCAGTTACGTCGTTTTCATTCCATGAGCAGTTTTTCAAATGGGGAAAAATCGTTGTTGAACAGTTGAATGTGTGAAACGTGATTGTTCATTTACTCTTCATTGATACATTCATCAATTTTTTGATAAATTTAGTGTTTGGAAAGTATATTGTTGGCCGTAAAGTTTTAATCGTCTGTCAATTTTGTTTTGTTTTACCCTTCTTGTTTTTTCTTGGTTTGTTTTGGCTGCCGGCTTTCGTTACAAGTCTATTGAAAACATATTTCGTTCCATTTAACTTATTATCTGCATTCTTAATTGTTAAAGTGAAATTACAACGTATAACCTAATGAAATTAAACTCATTAAAACTAAATACCATAATTGCGAATGACAAATTTATAAAAGAAATTACCCTCCGTCATCAAACTGTGCTATTCTGAATTTATTATTTTCTGGCGACAAACATTTTCTTTCATGGTGTTTTTTAGTCATGGAACACTCTTCTTTTTGGTCTGATTTAGAGAACGGTGTAAATCTTCGATTTTTACGTACGCAATTAATTTCGTCCTTTTTATAAACAACTCGCATATCAGATCCATTAACATATATCTCATGTTGTTCCTTCATCCTAGGATTATCTCTTATGTTAATCCACCAGGATCTAGTTATCCAAGGTTGCAGCTCACTGTCTATTCTTCCACTTTGTAGAAACTCCGGAAAAAGACAAACGTCTAATTTGACACATCCTGAAAATGTATATATATATATATTAATGAATTATGGGGAATCTCCTGTAAACTATTTGAAGGACAATTTGAAATATACCAATTTTCTTTTTGTGCAAGATCTGCTCATCCTTCCGGAGCACCTGAGATCCCTCTCCCCCGGTTTTAGGTGGGGTTCGTGTTGCTTGGTCTTTATGACTTATGCTCAGTTTCTATGTTGTGTTTTGTATATTCTCGTTTGTCTTTTGGTCGTTTTTCGTTTTGCCGGGGGATTACCAGTTTGTTTTCGACTTGTGACTTTGAATATCCCTTTTATATATTTGAAAGGAATATTCAAGTAACGTAACTACGATGTGGCAGATGAACAAGAAGCACACTCATGTGTCATCGGTGGAGTTTGTACCAAATGAAACTATATTGCACAACAATACTTAGAAGTGCTAATTACCCGAGAAGTATTAATGATCTTTTTTTTTAAGTTTATCAAACCCGTCGATTAATGTTCATCTTTTGAAAAAGAGTCATTATTTATCTGATACAATTGTGACTTTTTTTCAGATTTGTAGAAATTTCAGTTATTTTTTTTCATCGAACATAAACCTGGAAATAGTCATGGATTTATCTTCATTAATTCTAAAAAAAATGTTGATGTTAAGTTTCCATTTGTAGATAATCGGGAAAGACATATACAAATTTAATAAATCTGGTATGGATGTTGGCAACACATCATATTTTCAAATTGTTTACATGGAACTGTTTTATTTCTTTTTCAGATCAACTGTTATGACTCTGATGGAGTAGGAGTTCGTATTGGATAAGGTTTAACGTTCAATATCCGTGGTATGTGCTGTTATTTCAGTTTAAACATATTTAATTGTTGATAAACTTTACGAGCGTATGAAACACAAGTTTTACAGCTTTGTAATGTCTTCTCCAGTTAACATTACATAATTGTCCGTATGACCTTGTAACATTATCTCTTCCAGTTTGTATCATTTTTTTGCGTTGTGAATATCGTGCATTACTAAATATTTTTCAATATTATATTATCTCATGTTTTTTAACATTGACGCTTCGGTACTCCTCTATTCTTTTTTTTCCACATTATTCAGAGCTCAGTCGTATGGACTGCCTACAAAAGTAATTAACAAATACTATTTTTCTTTTCCAGACATAATAAAAGAAAGACGAAATTGATTTTGAAACCCGATTCATGTTCACCTATTGAAAACTGCGAGTTTTGAGAATAGAGAACCGTAGAATTACTTCAACTTTGATAAATGTCCTGCGTGATTATATTTCTATCTTCCTAGCTGTGAATCTGCACAAAAAATACCAATATAAAACTCCTTCGGTGGTTTCTACAAAATTTGGTTACAACAAGTCTAATAAGTTAGAAGGAGTTTTCATCTAACTATTGCGTGACTAATTCTGATTATCTATCGTACAGTATGCGTGTAGAGTTATAATCGTAAGATTTTTGTCAGACCAAAATATATTGAAATATAAATATTTCTCTTCTTTTTGGTTTAACTTATGTTTTTCTTATATAATCGTTCTCTAAAGGATACAAAGCTAGACAAAATGACGTCCGGAACAATTTGTATTTTAACATATTCTATAATTTGTAAAGTATCGAAGATGAAATGAGTTGGTTTAGTCTTATTTGATTAGTTCTAATAAGATCAGGCTAATTTAATTGTGCTCCACCGTCGTTGACGTTTCTAATACAATTTGTAGACGGTTTCTGTCTTAGAACGAGCAATTGGACTGAAACTTGCTTAATGGGCGAGCAGCATTGTTTATAATTGATGTTGACGCTTATACAAAGTGAATTAGACCAAATGTGATTTATTGCTAACTTATGGTTTCTTTTTCTTAGAAGATATTATACTATCAATATAATTTATAGGCTCAAAGAAAGAGGTTTTATTCTAAAGGCTTTGCAACCAAAAAATGACATTAAATTTCAGTCAATCAAAGCAAAGAGAACTTATTAGATTTCTTTCATATTAAGCAGTGCTGTAAAACTTATCTTGTAAAACGTTTTCTTGATATTGAGGACAGTCTATATAGGAATATAGATCCGGTTGTAGTTGGTTACCTCAAGTAAATGAAGTGAAAGTGCCCTCTTGATAATCGTAAACGTGTTTTGTCTATTTTTTTTATTATTTATAATAGTCTTTGTATGTTGTTTGAAGTTTCTTTTATGTCATGGTTATTTCTTGAAAAAGAGTTTAGCCATGGTAGTGTCAGTCCATTTTCAACCTATGAATTCGATTATCCCTTTGGTATTTTTCGCCTCTCTTTTTTATATATTTGTGTGCACGAAAGACAAATAGATGACTTCGGTTTGAATTATTTCTAATTATTTGTTGAGTTAGAAATCGAGATTAAAAAATTCTACTTTCAAGATTTTTTTCTTTTTAGCTCTAATAGAAGTAGGACAGACACACCATAGACACTATATGGGAAATTTCTCAAGACTGACACAAAGTTCAATAACTGTTTTGGTGTAAAATTAAACCAAAAATTAAATTTGAATGAATATTTTACATATATATACAATTGTTTAACAAAAAAAAGTTCTTCAAATCAATAATAAAGTCGGCCTAAAACACAAATACCCTATATGTGGATCGAAAGGCAAAGAAATGGACAGATAAACGTGTATGTCCCCGATTTTCTGTCGAGGAGGACATCATATGTTTTATAATAAGTGCAATACGCTATTCCATGCCAATACTACGTATATAAAATAAGGTGTGGGTTGATTGCCAATCAGACAACTATCCAACAGAGAACAAATGGATAGATGTTAGCAACTATAGTTTACCGTAGCGTCTTAAAAATGAGCAAACCCCATACCGCATAACAAGCTATATAATGCACCGACATAACAAAATGTGAAACAATTCAAAAGAAAAAACAACGGCATGACTTATGACTTAACAATAAACAAACACCAAATATGACAAATACTAACCAACGACAAAGAATGAATTACAGGCTCCGTACATGTTTTCCAATACCAAATATGTATAAATGATAAAAAGAAGGCAATAAAAAATTTAAAAAAAGAGTGAAAAACGTCTATGGCTGCTACCATTCATTTATATTCATTCATGTCTTTATTTCCTCATGATTGAGATATAATGAATACACAAAATTAATTAAATATCACACAACAAAATGAATAAACGAAATAGGAACAAAATTTTTTTTTTTTACATATATAGACAAATATACACTTTAGTCACTCGGCATAAAGTCCTTATGCAATCTTGAATGATGACATATCATGTATTGCCTAACCTGACATAACGTACATATGTTGCTATGCATTGAACAACATGGACGTGGCAAAACTTCTCAAACTCCGAATGTTCGGCAATGACATTTAATGGAATTCGTCCAAGTAAAATTTGATAAATATCCTCATCATCATATTCACTTAGTTCGCAATACAGTTGTAGCGAAAAATTCTCAATAATCATATTCCACCTCAATTCACGCAGCTATGTTGTACAAATGCAGGAACAACATGCATGTACATAGACATCATCAAAGTAGTTTTTGCATGCGACGCACTTATTTCCTGATGAATTTGGTATTTCAGTTAACAGTTTTGTAATAAAATAGGAATTTCGTATTTCCGCAAACGATTTCGTTTTTGTTGTTTGTTAATTTCAAGTTCATAAATTATGTTTTTGGACCTTATGGTTTAAATGCTTTTAACACAAATATCATATGTTTGGCTTACCAAACTTTTGATCTCAAACGTACTCAACTAAGTATTTTCCAGAAACTACTACCATGCGCATAGAAATCATTTCATACGATTCCTTTTTCTTCATTTCTAAGTTCATTCACATTATATTTTGTATTTTAATGAATGAGTACGAGTAGATAGATTCTTACGAGATTTGTTGGCACAAATTTGCCAAAGTTTCTAATAAGATCACTTTGAATCATATATATCCTAAAATAAATTAAACTTGGGTTAAAGAGTGTACAAATATTACAAGATGATAAATGGCCCAAGATGGCAAAAGAATATTTTTCTTCCTAAAGCAGAAATCATAGGTCATATCTGATTTCTCTCTGGGGATACGAAGTCTGGTCTAAAATGAAATTGCAGCAGATAATAACAAAACGAATTATTGTTTAAATACAAATTAACCATGAATCGCGTGTCAATAGATAAATGCAATTGACTTCAATTTTCCGCCAATAGTACAAATAAAAATCAGTTTAAATAAATTCCACTGAGGTTAAAAATAGCACATTTGCTGCTTAATTTGTAAATAGCTTTATACATCCGAGCACTATCCGTCAAATTAGGTTACTTTAACATCTTAATATTTCGTAGAAGAAACCATTAGAGGTTGAAGGTTACAACAATTTAAATTGTCTTCAGGGAACTGTTAGAAACAGCTTAGAGCAATAAAGATTGTAATTATATTATCTTAAATGTAATCATGGTAATTGTTTTATGATTAATGGTAGATGATCATGAACAAATAGAGTTTATACGACTTGTTTATCAGAATAAAATACAAAGGTTAAAATTCAAACAATTGTACTTGTAAACATTTGAAGAGTACCAACCCAACTATAATAAGGACAATTTCAGAAATCAAACATCCAATAACTGATTTTTATTTGTACTATTGGCGGTAACATTTATGATACCGATTTCAAAGCGATCTAAGAAAAAATAGATAATTAAAAAAAGATAGGCGAAAGATACCAATGAGTGGGCGGGGGGGGGGGGGGGGGGTCAAATCCCATAAGTCGAAGAGAGGCCAACAAAATCATGTCAAAATCGAAAAAAGACGAAAAGATAAACAATATTCTACCAAATACTACATAAAAAACTAAGACTGAACAACACTAACTCCACCAAAAGCCGTTGTTGATCTCATGTGCTCCGAAAGGGTGAACCGATCCTGCTTCACATGTGGGTATAGCGTCTCCGATCAGACCGGGCATGACAACATATTTGAATTTTTCGTACA